AGGCGGCGGCGGCGTATGCCTGCTCGCTCGCGTCGCAGAATACGTGCAGCTCCTTGCGCCTCGCCGCGCCGTACCAGCGTGGTAGGCGCAGCTGCGCTACGTTCTCTCGTAACTCGTGCAGCCATCCGTCGAAGTCATTCGCTTCGTCCTCCGGCAGTGGCTCGTCCCAGTCCAACTTCTTTCTCCACAGGTTCTGAAGAAGTATCTTCGCTCGTATGGTGAACTGGCTCAGTAGTCCCAACGGGTCGTATAGGGACATGACGGCTCCCAATGCTTCTCGTTTTGTAGGCGGTCGGCGTCGCTCGACGACTTCTTCCGGGACTCGGTGCAGGGCCGTGTTGAACCCCAGGTGGTCGCTCTCGGCGTCCCATAGCAGGCCGAGCGTCTTGTCCGGTGACGGCGCAAGATGTGTGGTGCTCTCCTGTCGCAGTCCTTCTTCGACGTCCCTTAGTGCGTCCGTCGAATTGGAGTTCCAACCTCGTAGCTTGAAGTTTGCTTGCGCGTGCACGTGGACCACTTCGTTGACCGCGCGCCTCGCTGTGCAGACGTCCTCGAAGCTCTCGACGAAGTCGTCCATGTAGTGGTTCTTCGTGATCGATTTGTGCGCGACCGGATGGGTGAGCGCGAAGTCATCTGCGTTGCGGTTGCGCACGCTGTGCGCGATGAACGGCGAGCTGGATGCCCCGAAGATTACAGCTGTCATCTTGTACTTGCGTGGCGGCTCATCCGCGTTGTCCCGCCACAGGAACATCTGAGCTGGCTGATCTTCCTCTCTCACGCGGATGCGAAGGAACATTTCTTGGATGTCCGCCGTGACCGCGACTGGACGCTCTCGAAACCGGAACATGATTCCTTGCAGCGATTGCAGCAAGTCCGGCCCCTCCAGTAGTAAGTCGTTGAGGCAGATTCCGTGCGACTTCGCGGCGGCGTCGAATACTAGGCGCACCTTTCCCGGCTTATTTGGGTTGTAAACGGGGAAGTGTGGTAGGTACCACCTTCTAGGGCTCTCTTCTTCGCTTCCGTCGCAGAGTGCCGCGTAGCCCTTTTCTAATAGCGCTTCGATTTCTTTCTTGTATCTAGCGGCGAAACTCGGATCCTTTCTGAACTTGCACTCGACGTTCCTTAGTCGCCGTAGTGCCGCGTTGTAACTAGGTGGGGTGGTGACGTCATCGTCGCGCCACGGCAGCCCCACTTCGAACTGTCCATCTTTTCGCCTCGCCGTTGCCTCGAATACCTCCGTGGCTCTTCTATCCGTATCCTTAACCTTCGTCGTCGTGGATACCCCGAGCGCGTCGATCCGGAAGTGTTCTTCGACGATCCTATGTAGTCCGTCATCTCCACAATAGTCGCCGATCGGCGTGAAGACATGCAGGATGGCTTCGGTGTCTTGCCCATAGATGACGCGCGGCATCGTTCCGTGGATCACCCATCCCAACTCTGTGCGGGAGGCGGCGGGCTCGTTCCTTTTTCCCATCTTGATCTCGCGTGACACGATGAGATGCCAATGGTCGGCCCCGATGAGCAGCTGCGGTCTTGCAGACTCGTAACACACGTCGTTGTGGTCCAATCCGCATAGATGTGGGTGTTGTAGCACGCTGACCGGTACAGACTGGCTATGCAATACCAGTTGTCGGATGGTGCGTAACTTTATTCGATGCGCGCCGGGAGAGCTCTTGTTTCCGACCATAGCCTCGACGATCTCGCTGTTCACTCGACGGTTCGCTGCCACGCCCCGTATGTGTAGTGGCCGCAGTGTTCCATTCATGCCGAGCTTCTTAGCCAGATCCTCTTCAATGAGTGACACAGTAGCGCCTTCGTCTAGCAGCGCGTATGTGTCCGCGTTCCCATTCGGACCGGTCACGGTGACGGGCACCACCTTCAGCAGCACGGCGGCGGCATTTCGGTCGTTATTAGCGGCGGTGTCTATCGACATAACGGATTCGTCGGTAGCGATCGGTTTCGGCTTCGGCTTCGACTCTTCACTCGTCGCGCCATAGGGTTCGAAGTGAAGTAGGCGATGGTGCGGTCGGCGGCATCCGTTTGCGCCGCACGCTCGCGCTCGACAGTGTCGTCGAAGATGACGATTTTCGAGACACTTGAAGCAGATCTCCGCTGCTTTGACGATCTCCCATCTTGCTTCGTTGTCTATTTCGCCGAACCTCTTGCATTTCGGTAGTGTGTGATCCCCTTCACAGACGATGCATTCGTACTTTGCGGGTGGCCGCGGCGATGGCGACGTAGGCGTCGCGGTGGTAGTAGTGTAGACGTTTTCTTTCGTTTTCCTTCTCACGGGTGCGGCGTGGGCCGTGGAAATTGCAGACGGCTTGGTGGTTCTCGCTGTAGTCGTCGTGCACGGCGCAGGGTGCACGGCGTACGTGTATCGCAGCGCGAGGTCCGCTTCCTCCGTCAGGAATCTTGACAGCATGACGATCTCGGGCTCGCGTTGATCTTCATGTTGCCTGGCATAATCGCACCACCGGGTTCGCAGGAGCGGGCTGAGCTTCTCCAATACCTCCCTTGCCAACATTGGGAAGTGTAGGTAGCCTCGTCGATCCAAATTTTGAAGCACGCAGACGATGTTCTGGAGTTTCACGGCGAAGGCGTTGACTTCATTTGCGGTACTCCCTAGGCGCGGCAGACGCTTTATATCTTCCAAAGTCTTGTCCACGATGAACTCCGGGCGTCCGTAGCTCTGCTCCAGGGCGTGCATAACTTGATCCGGGTGGGCGGCGGTGCTGAGTAAACCTGTGACGGTTTCCCGCGCTTCCCCTCGTAAACAGCTTCGAAGGCGGGCCATATTTTCAGTCGGTGTGAAGTCGTAGGCGGCGGACGACTCCCTCATGGCGGCTTTGAACGGCAGCCATTCGTTCACAGAGCCTGTGAATATGGGCAGCTCCGTCACTTGACGTGGCGCTGGACGCGCGCTACGGGTCATCTTGTCGAACGCGTCGACCAATTGTTCGATGCCTCTTCGGTGGCGTGACGGCGTCGGTGACCGTACTCGACGCTCGAAATGAACGGCTGCGTGGCCCTGTCGCTCCCCCCGTTCCAGCCTCGGGGTCTGCGGAGTGCGCACAGGGATGGTGCTCTCGTCGTGGGGGGGCACCGTGCGTCCCGGAGTGGCAGTCTCTCTTAGTGGTTCGGAGGAGGGCTCGGCGGCTTGTCGCAGCCAATCGTCGATTCTGTCGTTAGGGTTGATGTTGCTACCCCGTTCTTCTTGGTCTTCCTCTTCTATGTTCGATATTTCTGCGGCGGTTCTCTTCCTAATTAGGTCCGCTTCCATAGCGAACTCTCGTCGCTTTATCTCGGCTAGGCGTTCTTCGGCTTCTAGCTGGATGTTTCGGATGCGAGCCGCGACGCTGCTAGATGACTGGCGGGATCTAGCAGGCGAGGTTTGTCTCGTTCGTTCGTGTCCCGCGTCCTGAGAAGGACGGGCGACGAGACGTACCGGGTGAGCGGGGGGCTGAAATGTGGTTTCGATCGATTGACCTCCCCCCGCTCCTGTACCATGACGTAACTCCGTACCGTGACGTATTCCCGTACCGTGATGCGACTCTGTACCTTGACGTATATCTGTACCGAGACGTGACTCTGTACCTTGACGTATATCTGTACCGAGACGTGACTCTGTACCTTGACGTGTATCTGTACCGAGACGTGACTCTGTACCTTGACGTGTTTCTGTATCTTGACGTATCTCTGTACCGAGACGTATATCTATTGCCGATGGAGACCTAGGTGATTCCTCAAACACTCGTATCGGCGCTTCTTCGGTTTGAGAACGCGTCTTCACCATTGTAGCGGCTTCGTAACTCTCGAATATTCCGTTTCTTGAGTTGATGCCGAAAGATCCGGACACTTGCTTGATCCGGTGTAGAAGGATCGCAGACTTTCTTGATCCGGCGTCGTAGGACCACGAACTGTAGCAGATGGACTGTAGGCTGGATTATCAACAGGTAGGTAGCAGAGGTCGCAAATAAAACGCTTGGTTCGGAGAAAACACGGAGAACATTCAGTGGCAGAACATGCTTTATTGCAAAAACCCGATCACTTAAGTACATTTTGTTTGCTCGCACTTAGCTCATATATTAGTCAGTTATCTTATAAGATTTTGCAGAGTGGGGGTATGCTACCCCGCACCGCGCGGGGAGGGGAAGGTTTCGCTGTGGTCCCGCTGGTGGCGCTGCTGTTGAAACGCGGCTCGATGTCCTTTAGATGCGGATTAGTGGTTCTTAACGACTACAGATGCATGGCCAAATTGCCTGCCGAATCGCGGACGAGCTCGTGATAAATTTTTGGTCACCTTAACTTCCGCATCGCAGAACAAACTCGCTAAACACTGCTTCATGGAGTTCACATGAACAAGAGTTCACATGTCTTGTTCCAGTAATTCAGTATTGATTTTTTTAAATTCAGAAATATTGATTTCTGTAACACTAATAAAAATTTGACATTTAAAAGACAAAATCAAAAACTACTGGACCGAAATTAATAATTCCCCTCACCTAAATAGCTACATTCAATGATTTTTATAATGTCATATTTTATTGTGAAAAAATGGCGGCAATTAGTTCTCGGGACAAGTTCGTAAATATAACATTATCAGTAATGTAACTATCACAAATTATGTAAAAAGTATTTTTAGATTTCATTAGTGTACACCATACTCATTTTTTTTTTTCAAGCCATTCGCTCTTTCTTGGCAGAAGATGCAGGTTTGAATAGTAGGTACATCGATATTTTTTGTTATATTATATGAAATTTGAATACCGCTAAGGCGAATTTCATTCACATTCTAAATGTTAAATAAAATCTCATATATCAAAAAGATGACGTTATTTAAAATATATAATTTGTAATCTAACTTATTACTTATTTAATAGTAATCAGAATCAATGTAATGACTTTTACATAATCATTATTAATGATAAGATATCCATTGAATATAATCAAGTAATATGTACATGCGATATTACCCAAATGAAACAAAAAAAAAAATTAAAGCAAGTTTTTTAATTCAATAATTACATAACAAAAATAATTGCCTCTATTTAATAAGTGCCATAACATGCGGTAGGTCATTATGACCAAATATAAAAAAATATAGATTTAGTGATCATTTAACCTATGAGTACTCATTGTCTGATAAAATATATAAATATTAAGTGATGTCTAACAAAAGCATAAAAACAATTTATTGCTGAATGAAATGCCATTTTTCTCCTATATTAGTTTGCTATTCAAATTTTATACATTTTACTTATAATCTACACAGTCAATCCTTGCATACATCCAGGGCATCTTGCTTTTCCTCAGCCAATTCTTTACCTGTTGCGTCTAGCATCTGACGTGCAAAATCTGAGATAGTTAGACCTTCAACTATCTTCCACTTTCCATTGCTAATAGTCACCGGGAAGGAGAAAACTATATCTCGTGGTGTGCCATATGAGCCATCAGAGACTACACCCATGCTCACCCAACGATCTCCTGTACCTAAGAACCAATCTCTCATATGATCCGAAGCTGCTTTGGCAGCTGACAAAGCTGATGACATTTTTCTTGCTGCAATAACAGCAGCACCACGCTTTTGAACTGTAGTAACAAAGGTAGTCTTCAAATATTCATCATCATTTATAGCAGCTGGTACAGATTTCTCAACTCCTCCAATCTTTGCTACTGCATTAGAGGGATCAGGGAACTGAGTAGAAGAGTGGTTACCCCAAATTACAACATTTTTTACATCATAAACTGGGATTCCCAGTTTAGCAGCCAACTGAGATTGTGCACGATTTTGATCTAAGCGGGTCATAGCAGTAAAGTTTTCTTTAGGAATGGAGGGTGCATATTTAGAGCAAATCAATGCGTTTGTGTTAGCTGGGTTACCAACAACAAGGACTTTGACATCTTTGCGTGCAACTTTGTCTAATGCTTGACCTTGTTCTTTGAAGATCCTTACGTTTGCAGAAAGCAAGTCTTTACGCTCCATACCTTCCCTTCTAGGCATAGCACCAACAAGGAATGCTGCAGCCACATCCTTAAATGCCTCTTCAGGATTGGCTGTAGGCAGTACTCCAGCTAGGAGAGGCAGTGCACAATCAGCAAGCTCCATAACAACACCCTCTAAAACACCCATCATTGGTGCAATATCCAATAAATGCAAGAAGACTGGTTGTTCTGGACCAAAAACAGCTCCTGAAGCCACTTGGTATACCAACGAGTAAGCAATTTGGCCTGCCGCGCCAGTAATAACCACTTTTATGGGTGCCGCCTGAAATGAATAAAAATTTGTTACTTTAAATTAAATGTTATTTAAAGAAATATTGTATGCCTATACAAGTAAATACCATTATAGCTGACTTCACGACGTGTTTAGATACAACTGTAAAGGATTCTCTATCTGATACCGAGGGTTTAGATCCACAACAAAAACATGACATTCTTACTGAATGTAACTATGAAGACATTTGATAGACATGTACTAAGGAACTAATCGAACGAAATAATGCTAGAACTAGAATATTACTTTGTAAGCCGATACTGTAGATTATCGAAAAGATAAAAATTATCAAAACCATTGATGTAGGTACTCGAAAATTAATTATTTGAATAATAATGAATACGTAAGTATTACACTACAAAATTAGATAACTGTTTGTAGGCAGTTAAAAAAAGATAATTTATATTTTAGAAAGGTCAGTTCAATGTCACTTGCATTATAAAAACTGCAATTTCTTACCATTTTTTAATGTTTCAAAATGTTCTTAGGACAATAGAAGAGTTCACAAAAGCTAGCGAAGTATGACTAATTATCTCAACCTTTGAACTAATAATTAAGTTGTAAAAGTAATTTATGCGCCTGGCGGGCACAACACTCGCTCAACAAATTGACAAATACTATTGTTTCATCCGTGCTGTGATTATGTTCGAATGTGTTTGAGGTTATGTAAGAGTAATAGCTACAAATCGAAGGAGAAAAATATGAGATAGATTTAGGGAAAACGATGAACTAGAAAGAGATGAAATTATAACATTCGATTGACTCTAAGCAATTGAATAAACCAAAAAATGCTTGTTGAAACAATATCGATTTTTTTTCGATATTCTATTAAATTTAAACCGATTAAATAATTTGAAATCGATACAAAAATCGTATAAACAATGTAGTCTGCAAAAATCCAACATTAAAAATCTCTATACTACTCTATAAAAATCTCTACTACAAAATACAATTACATATTATCCTATTCTGTATGAATCGTGATGGATACATTCAGAGAATTGTATTTTTTTAATAAACTGACTAAAGTTGCCAAAATGGTAAAGCTGAGGCCATCTACATAAAAAAAAAACTTTCTTTCTTTGGTGTGTGTGTGTGACATAACAGATAACCTCAACAAAGTTTGCTGCTGTGCCTTAGAAAGATTTCTATAGATTTGAATTGATATTACCGCACAATGATGTTTTAAAACTCTGTGTCATATAATTGTTAATATAACTAAAATAATATACATACCAAGCACGTGCACCAGCTAAGATGTCATCTCTTCTAAGATCCACTAAATTTGTTCGCTATTTTACTGGAGCCGCGAGAACATTAATACTAAACGCAGCAAAGACTACCGAAACCGCTACTTTGATTAATCCCAAAACACTTAGCGCAGCAAACAAGTACGTAATTCATTATAATCATTTCCAACTATTATTATTTGGTGTCTTGAATAACCATAAAGTTATACGTATCCGCATTAACATATTTTCAGTGTTCTTTTACGAGACTATTCCACCTCAAAAAATGCTAAAGAGCAATTGGAACCTCTTCTTCAAAGACTAGATTCAGAAGTCAGAAGATTTGGGCGCATATCAAAACGAGATATTGATGAAGTGTTTGATGAAATTCGATCAAAACATGATATCACAAGTTCTCAGTCTTTACTTGTAATCAGATGTTGTGGTAAGTGACTAACAAATTATCGTATTCGTAATTTGATTAGTACATGATTTATTTTATTACTACAACTTGATAATTTCAGGTGAATTGGTTCCGGAAGAATTGCCTGAACAGAGAACTTTATTAGTTCAAAAAATATGGAATGTTCTCACTGAAAGAGGTATCCCTATGGATATTTCTCACTACAATGCACTGCTTAGAGTCTATATTGAAAATGAGCACCCATTCTCACCAGCAAAGTTTCTTGAAGAATTGGAAAGCAAAGGCCTGCAGCCCAACAGGTAAGCTATAAATTTGAAAGTTTATAATTTGAACCATGTGTTACAAAATAACCTCTTATCCTGAAACAGCATTGAGTATAAACTGAAATAATAGATGCTGTTCTTTATTAAAACAAAAATAAAATAGAAGTTGTGCAAAAATTTTAATAGGATTTAGAGAAGCACACCAACATCACAATCAGCTGTTTCAGTTCATAGACTTCTAAACTGGTTTAATACAGTGAAATAATGTTTCGGATTATGTGTACATATGTAAAATCTAATATCTGAATATGCAAAACATTAATGCAAAACCTCTTTTGGAAACTTTACACAAATAATTGTGAAATTAACTTATTAAAATTAGAAGTCTCTTTCGACTACACAAAGCAATATCACCAAGACGATTATATGAACATATCAAGCACAGAAACAAACAATATTATGCTTATTCTACACTCGCTGCACCAAATTAACCACTTGCCGTGCTCGTAAGTAACCTAAATAATATCTGTTTGTGAAGTATAGAAGATTCTTGGCAAGCCTAGAGTATTTTAATACTCTTTTACAAAATAATATTCATTGTATTGACTATTACAAAACAACACCCACTAGATAATCACAAAATAAATTTCATCCAAGCTAAACAAATACAGTTAGCTGCTAGCCATATTGTATCTAAAATGCAAACTTGAGATAGATACGAGTAGAATATTCTTTAAACAAACAAAACATACAATTTATTATGAAAATAAATAATGTAACATACAATTGGCTGCAATACAAGCAACCTTCTCCATATTTATTTACTTAATTTTTTAAATAGACTTCGAGGATCTGTCTCTTTAAAATTATGTTTCTTCTTCTTGCCGAAGGGTGTTTTCCACAACTCAACACTTGGTGCCTATTTTGCGTGCAAACAGCGGAGGTCTTAGTCCTGCCATCCTAGTACCTCCACTAAGGATTGTATTTTATCTGTGTTGTTTTGGTCCACCATACTATCGCCACATAGCTAATGGTGGGCCTTATTACAGTCAAATATAGCCATTTAGTTATGTACGGGGTCATACCCCAGTTCTTACCTAGGATTCTCCGGCATTGCCAGTAGATGATCCATTCCTTACTCAGAACATTGTCTAAGTGTGCTCCCCAATTTAGTTTGGAATCTAAGTGTCTCTCCAAAGAGCCTCGGCACCCAGTAATTTCCCAGATTCCTTTTGTTGGTGAACATGACCAGTTCAGTTTTAGATAGATTTACCTTCAGTCCATACTTGGTATTAGATCGTATCTTATCGTGAGATGGTGTTTAGAGTTTAGTCTAATGATAAGGTCGTTTACCACTGTATTCCAGAGCAGGGTTGAGAGAACTCCCTCTTTAGGGCACCCTCTTGTGGCTAGAGCTCTTAGATGATCGTCATCCTGCAGTCTTATTATCCTGTTTCGAAGCATTTTACCTATCCACTGGACAGTTGTCTCCGCGGCACCATGTGTGAGAAGGTCAGTGGTTATACCCGTGAAACTAGTTTTGTCGAACGCCCCCTCAATGTCTATGAAAGTACCTAAGCACATGTCCTTATGTTTCATACTGTCCTCTATAGTGCTTATCACTGCGTGTAATGCAGATTTAGTCGATTTACCTAGACTATAGGTTGATTTTGATGTAAGCTGGTCTTCTTCAATTGATTGTCCCTTAAATCTCTGTCGCATAGTCGTTCGAGCGTTTTTAAAAGAAACGAAGAGAGACTTATGGGTATATAAGACTTAGCGTCGCTGTAGTCCCTTTTTACCTGGTTTAGGGATGAAGATGACTGACTGACAGTTTCGGCGTGAACCTGTGCGCTAAACAGGCTCATAGCAAGGCTACCAGGATATATGCTAGTGCTTCCCCTGCCCATTGCAGTAGTGCTGGGAGTATTTCGTCCGGTTCTGCAGTTTTGAATTGTTAAAAACTGTTTATAGCTCACAATACCTTGTCACTCGTAACTGTTTTTTTCCGCGAAGTACCAGCAGTTACTCGTCAGTATCCATGTCATGTCTACGTCTATAGTGCTTCCTAGTTGAAGTACCACACTCTCCGGGAAGTGTGTGTCCAATCGGACCTCTTGAGTTTCTCTTACCGTGGGGGTGTACAAGCCATCAGCTTTGCGTAGTTGGCCTTTTGTTCTGTCTTTTGAAAGCATTTTCCTTACTTTGTTTGCAACTGAGCAGGCATCAATGTCGGAGGGTCCAGTGCCGGATTCGCTTTTTATAATGCGACTTAGCGTCCTTTTATGCGTCCCAGTCGTCATCTTCGCATGTATTCATGGCTCTGTTAAATGATTGTTTTACCTTTTCCCTTTAAAATTATGTTAACCTTAACTTAAAATCTTCAGTACAAGACTAAACCCTAAATGGCGTTAGCGCAGATACAGTCGGTGTAAAAAGTGAAACATTGATCAATAAACATGTACAAACATTTGAAATTGGAAACTTAAAAGCCATATTCATATTCCCGCCCAAATCCAGACTAAATAATATACATATGCTACACGAATTCGAATTAATAGCAACCGCATCGAGTAAAGTGAGTCGCTGCCTTAGAAGAACTTACTGTTAAAGTCTTTCAATAATTTTTCACAATTCAGAACATAAGAACGTACACGCCGTGAACACCGAGAGCCCTGCGCTTGAGCACTGACAGAGCTGGTATAAACAAACCAATTTCTCTCCGTATATGACGAGCTGCCAGTCCTCACTCACACACACGATAAATTAAATAGACTAATAGATAAATTAATAGACTAATAACTACTTTATTTGTATCAGTTTTGTATTGCATTCTTTAGTCGCACGCATATTCGTATATATTTATTATAGTGTTCTATAGAGTTAAGATATATTACTATTTGCACTGAATAGGCTCCGAAACTACTGATCCATTTTGAAAATGTTTTCACCTCCGGCAATAAAAGTATCGTATCGTGAATTTAACTGGCGTTAAATTTTTATCCCGTATCCCGAGTCGTAACAATAGCAACACTTAAAGATTCTCAGTAATTTATTGTTTTTTCCGAATATATTACATAATTAATTTAAAAAAAATCTTATAGGTGGAAAGTAACATTATCCTATTTCGATCCGAATGATTGTCATCTCTTTTTACATTATATTACCCTACAATTAGGCATTTTTGTCGGAGCTCTTTCCATTGCAATCCGTGAATGGCGCATTAGGTGGGGAAGAACAGTTTTATGTAACGAGCATGCACATTCACTCTTGTTGGTGTATGTATTATGAAAATTTGACTGAAAGTGGACTACAGCGTCGGTTACCATACCATCTTGCCAATGATTTGATTCCTACTATTTTTGATAGAAGCAATTTATGTATTTACTGTGTAAATGTAGACATGTTTGTAGGCATATTTTCTCTCTCATTCTCAATGTGCCTATGTGTATAATGACGTGTACTAGAAGAATAGAAAAAAATATTAGAAAACAGGAGATAGGTAGTGAGCCATTACTCCTGGTAAGGTTATTAACGTAAAATAGTGATGTGACATAGTATACTCGATGTTTTCATGATGAGTCATTTTTAAAAATAAGCCTTTTTATTCAAATTTAAAACTTAAGGCAAAGGTTTTGAAAAATTTTACAGATAACACTTTAAACGATACACTTAACACCCTTCAGCTATAAGCGGTATTTTTGTAACACACGGTATATTAAATCTGTATTTTTTTCTAAATGGTAAAAAAATATAGTCTAAATCATCCAGAATAAGCAAAATATAGGTATTATAATTCACTAGCATTTGTTACTATTCGTCTGTTCTCTAATTGTTTACCTTTGACCCCATAAATATTGTTAATGAATTTTTATTAATTTAATATCAAATTCAAGGGTAACATATCAAAGACTAATGTGGCGATACTGTCAAGATGGTGACGTAGAAGGTGCCACCAAAGTTCTAGAAAGAATGAGAGAACTCAATCTACCAGTTTCTGAACCTGTGCTCAATGCTTTAGTAATGGGACACTCTTTCCATGGCGACACTGATGGCGCAAAAGCTGTATTAGAAACTATGGCAGGTGCTGGACTCCAACCTACGAACCGTACTTATATGTTACTGGCTTGCGGTTATGCGAGAAAAGGTGATATTGATGCTGTGAATGAAGTTATCAAAAATGCAACAGAAAAAGATGTATATATGACTGATAAGGTATTGTATGAACTAAACACGTGACAAATTACACATTTCATTGCTCCAATACTAGTGTCAACCTAATTGTTATATGATTTTATTTTCTCATCATTTTTTTTGTCATACAACATTACATGAGATGTTGATAATGTCAGTTTACTGATCGGAATGTTTGTTTCCTTAGGACATCTTAGATATAATAGAGCACCTAGCCATTGGAGGACATGGTAATAAAGCTGAACTATTATTCAATCATTTGCAAAAAGGAATAGGATATAATCAAGATGTATGCAACCTCATTCTTCGATTACTCAACAAAAGACAAATTGAAACTGCCATGAGAGTTATGAAGACAATGCCCAAAGCAGCAAATGTTGATGACACCATATTCAAAGGAGCCTTTTTTGTTAAACAACTTTTAAAAGTATCTAATGACCCTGATGCAATTATTCAAACTTGCAAAGAGTTGCAGACAGAAAATCTAGTCCCTAGTTCTCTTTTCATTGCGACTGAAATGGCATTACAATTGGGTCATGTTGAACTGTCACAAAAACTTTTTAAGGAAATCGAGAAGGAAGGAATTGAAATCAGACAACACTATTATTGGCCTCTTTTAGTTCAGAAAGGGAAAGAAGGTGATGAAGAAGGACTTCTCCAACTACTTCGCGATATGTCTTCTCAGGGCCAGACAGTATCAGGGGAAACATTAAAGGATTACGTCATTCCATATTTGATGAAGAAAGATTCACCACATAATGCTATTCTGAAACTACAAATTGCAAACGTCCCGATAATTCATAGTGCTAGAATTTTGATGACGGATCTTTTGGAATCGGGAAAAATTAAAGAAGCTTCAGAAATAGCTTTGCAGTATCGTCTTAGAGGCCAATTTTCTTTGGTGTCACGTCCCTTACTTAACGCCTTAAATAAAACAAAGGATGTTAATTCCTTTGTTTCAATATTACATGTGATGAGTAGTAAACCAATGGTAAGTAAAGTAGATGATGAACTGACTAATGAGGATGAAGCTGATGATAGAACTGATACCTTTGAAATTGGACGATTAGTCAAAAGTGCAGTAAAACTTTTGCCGAAAAATGATTCTGTAGAATCTCTGTTAACTGCATTACATTCTAAAGGTATAAGACTCGACACAGAAGCAGCTGAAGCTATACAACAAACTCTTGGTAAGAATATGACTACAAAGTTGTCAGAGCTTTTGACCCAGCTCACAGCTGCAGATTTGGAGCTAGTTGCAATTCAAGGCCCTCAGCGAGAGCGAGTGAATACTCCTCGTACAGCTGCTCAACTTGAATTATTATTGGAACAGATCAAGAATCGAGGAGGAAACAATATCGAGCGTCTTCAGAAACAATTATTATATGCATATATCAAAGAAAATAATGCAAGTAAACTAGAAAGTTACTTGCAAGAATTGAAAGCTTCAAATTTCGAATTCAGCCCAGCCAGTCTAGCCCAGCTGTATGAATTTTATTGCTCTAATGATGAAATAGAAAAGGCCAATGAATGTCAGGCTCAAATAAAAGAGAAGAATCCAAATTTCGTCCTAAATAGACATAAATTAGTTCTTATGGCAAATGCTTTAATAAGAGCCAACAGATTTGAAGAGGCCATTCAGTTTTTGCAGGACAATAAGCCTACAGAGGACTTTGAAAACATCGGCTTTGTGTTCAATTCGAGATGTTGGCAAATGTTAAATAATTTAGCGGAACAGAAAGATGAAGCTAAGGTAATATTCATTCCTGTAATTCCATATTTATCGAAGAAAAAAACAATGGTCCTATAGTGTTTTAGTTATATAAGTATAGATTACAACTAACAATATGTTCGCGATTACAGGTTTTATTATTAACAAAAACCTTAATTGAAAATAATTATGTTGAGCCATCAAATGTCATTTTGGGTCCTTCCATAAAAGTATTTTTACTGAAAGAGGATGTCGAGGGAGCCCTACAGCAGTTCCAACAATGCTGTAATCAATACAGAACCACTCCTTGGAAGGGTGAACTAATGAAAGCTCTGATCATGAAGGAAGATGCTAATAAACTTCAATGGTTGGCTGATCTAAGTACACAGGTATATTATTTATCACAGATGTTTTTTTAGCAAAAAGAGCAAGCAATTTTTTCAAAAAACTGCATAGTACTAAATTTCTGCAGTACATTTCGAACTAAATATACAAGATACCCTTGTAGCTAATATTAATGTACAATTGTTAATCAAATCAAAATAATGTACTTGGTCTAGACTGTTACAATCACTTGTGAAAGTCGAAATACAATGCCATAGGTCCGTAAATCTACGGCGGGAGACCTTGTACCGAGAAGAACCGGCATGAAATAAAATGTGCTATTAGCTTACAGTCCAGAGTACATCAAGTTATACAAATCTGTCATATTTCTCCATTTAATTTGAAATCACTTGAGAAATTTGACAATGTGTTATAGTAAAAAAAAATTGTAACTAAATAAATCAAGACTTTGTAAAGTTTCATCATAACCAAGCAGTTTGATTGTGAAAGTGTTACATACAGATAGAGTATCATGTAAAAGATTCCACGCTCATTATATTGCAGGCTAATCAGTGGCGGACTAACGTCATCGGAGGCGGCATTAGGCCCGGATTAGGCCTAGTCCGCCACTGAGGCTAATATAAACTGAAAATACCCATTCATTTCTAGATACACGGTGAAGTAAACATCCTTCATGACTTGGTACTAGCGTTTGTTGAATGCGGCCGTTTACGACAAGCTCGACGTATACTAGAAACACCTGGTATGCAGACTAGACAGAGACGCCTGGAAGACGCATGCCAGCGATATGTCGAGGTAACTATAACATACATATCTCTAATGAAAAATTATTTAAAAACTTTCATCTCGATAATGGAGTAGTAGTGTCGTTAAGCAACCTTCGCAAGGATCGCTCACGGGATGGGTGACCAAAAAGTTATTATCTCTAGCTACTCCGTGCTGCAGAAGGCACGTTAAGCCATTGGTCCCAACTGCATTTAGTCGTTAATACCCGCCAATCCGCATTGGGCCAGCGTGGAGGGTCATGGTCCATGCTCCGTAACCAACATAAGGAAGGCCTGAATCCTTAAAGTGGGGATGAAATAAAGAGCTGTTGATGTAAATGAAAATGAAAAATTTTGATTTGTCCAAAAATGTTTTTTCCCTACCACTCCGAAGTTTAAAATATTTCTTTCGGCTGTTTGTGGTTTGCCTGAACATTGATGAAAATACACTCATTAGTAGCGAAAGTAAGTCGTAGGGGTAACAATAATAAACAGTACACCGTGTACTCTGAGGTGAGGTTGGTACTTTTTCAAAAAATTTTCATAAAGTGTATTTTCCAGTATTGCATTCTGAATGCTAATATAATAATAATGAAAAGGTTACAAACCATTGGTATATTGGTTCTCAATGTCGCATTCTTTAAGAGTCAATCCGAGAGTTAATAAATTAAATAAACTCAATTTAAAAACTTATGCAATTCCAAAAAAAAAATCTTGTCTAATTTTAAAACCTATCAATCCTTATCAATTTTACGTTTGAAAAATATTCACGAGCTTCATGCTGCAACCATTTCACATATGATAGCCATTGCTATTTATTTTAAACGTTACATAATTCGCTATTAGAGTAACCATACTATTAAAAAGGATTGCGATAAATTTTGAAATCAGACAATCAAACCAAGTTTTAAAAATACGAATTGCAACTAAATATTGTACAGACTAAATGAAGACATATTTATTAGACAACTATCGAGATCTACTACATGATTGCAATATTTTTCCAATTAATTACAAAGTAAATTAAACTTTATCAGTTGAAAATTATTATGATGAATATTTCAGTCATATGTCAACTTAACTAAATTTCAATCACAAGATCACGAAAGACTATTATGATACCAAATTTTCAAAATTTGTATGGTGCAAAAAAAAAAACTTACATGTATAATTTCTACTTTTCACACGTTATTAAGGAATTTGCAGATTAATATCAAAAGTAAAATAAACACAATAAAAAAATAATAAATATATTGGAGATCAAAACTTGTTTATAGAAAAACTAAAATTAATATAACATATTGTTAATGTATCGTATCATCATGATGATGATGATTTTTAATGTAATTTACCTTTTATCGTATTTACTTTTAGTTTTATAAAATGCACGCTAAATATAACATTACAATAACAACTCACAACACAACATATTGGCGTAATATTGAAGTACCCACTATTGCATTTATTTCTTCTATTAGTAGTTAGGTGAATATAAATGAAGGTGCTACAAAAGTAAATGGACGGTAAACAGTTAAATTTGCATCGGACTTTGTATATTCGTTAATAGAATGTTTTAAAAAGTGAAATAAATATATAAATACTATTATTTTTACTACTGAAAACTTATCAAGTTTAATTTATATTGTGTTATCATCCAAACCACGACAGGTTGTATTTGAGTGCTGATTTTTAACTTCAGTTGCTGTTAGAAGTAAATTTATGCTAGAAATTAAGTTTCCCCATACGTTTTTTTGTCTTGTATGTGTATTATAAGAAATATAATCTACTTAATATTTTTCTAGGAGGGAAAATCAGAATATTTGGAAGGACTACTCGAGGCGACAAAAGAATTATCACATATCGACAGATCAAACATATTCTATCATTTACTAAAATCCTACTGCAAGGCTGACGAAACTGACAAAGCTTTGGGCTTGTGGACATTACTTCAAGAGGAAGGCGAAATACCTAGTGACCAATTCCTTTTGCAACTCGGGAAACATCTAAGACAAAAGAACAGGGAAGTCCCATTTATTATGCCTGACCAGGACAAGCATAAACCACAGGCCAAAACACAGTCAAAAGATAAACCAAAAGAACTATCACAGAAATCAAGTCAGAAAGGAATGAGCAACACTATTGAAGCACTTATCCAAGACAATAAAATCACGGAGGCTTACGAATTAACATTGAAATCTTTCGTAGAAGGTTTCACTCCTAAAAGCTCGGTATTAAAGTATTTGCTTAAAACTCTCGCTGAAGCTGGCCACGTTGATAAGATACTGGAAGTGGGTAAATATACATCTGACGCTCTAAAAAAACTTATTACATACGACGACAAATTGACACTCGCTACATTTAGAAATGGAAATGGTATTCAGCATGTTGAAAATTTATTGAAAGCAGCTGAAAGTGCAAAAACGCCGGAGGATATACAAGTGATTGTCCAAAAGTTTCCAAGGAGTATTGCCTTAGCATCTGTCATTGGAGACAATGAACTTGTTATCAAATGTAAGTATCAGTTATACCAATAAATCCTTAAAATTTAAATATAAAGATATACATTTTACTATTAGTATTTACGGTCCTTATTCTGTTATTGTTATTAATAAACATGGTTTAATGTTCGAGTAGTTTTACGCAGAGACCGCACAATATGAATTAGTAGTCAAAATTCATATTGTTAAACAGAGATTTAGCAAAGGTAAACCTAGTATGAGGTTCTGCGGGAGTTATATTTACTCCTAGAAGGTTTTCTTATTCTCTCTAATTTGGACTGTTACAAAAATTTCAATTTTATTCTTAATCTTGTTAATTAATAACACTGTTAATGTTTAAGGTCAAAACTTTTGATGAAATACAAAATTTTATTATAACATGATCTGGAGTGTACCTACAGCACTTATATATATTTTTACAGGCCAAAAAGTTGCTGAAATAGTCGCTTCTAAAGGCCACATCATTCCCATGAACTTGCTATGGATGGAATATATTTTAGCAGGAAAAGAGAAAGAAGCCAAAGCTGTCTGGAATCAATGGCTGTGCAACGCCTCCTCCCTTCTATTCAGGAGATTACTTCAAGAAAGCCATAACAGAAATGACCCACAGATTATAATAAATCTCATTGATAATCTTAAATCAAACAAAGAAGTTTCAAAGGGTTCATTCGGTAATGTCTATTCCCGCTTAATAAATTTATATCTGATGAATAATAAAATTGAAGAAGCAGAGAAAGTGTTAAATGAAGCTATCGAAATCGGATTGGATACTGAACATTTTAACAAAAATTGTCTAAACAGATTGAAAGACGCTTTAAAAGACGCTGGAAAGGAATTTAATTATTTTAAATAAGTTAATGTTTGAAGACATTATATTATCTAGCATAGTGAAAAATAAAATTGAAATACAAGAGTTGGCTTATGTATGCATTTATGTTCATAAATTGTTTAATCTGTGGTTTCAAGTATTGATAATGTGATAGTATACAAAATAATCTTTATTTGAACAAAGTGTTTTCCATAAGTTTGATGTTAGCTGATACCTAATAAATTATGTCCTGTATGTATTTTATTGGTTTTATTATGATGACTATGATGGTTACGAATCAAAAACTAAGTACCTAACTACTTAAGTTAAAGAAGAATGACACTTGTTGGTCCACAGAAGAGGAGTTTCTTTGCAGCCCTGCAATTCTGCAAAAGCCAAACCCAAATTCAAATTTACTCGAGTATCCGAATTTCGAGTTTCCGAAAAAAGGGGCGGGCAACTGCTCAATCTTGCATTGGTAATAACGTTTCGTGGCATAAGTGAAATTATATAGGAATATAATATCTGAGACGTATAATCAATCAATTTGGTTTTGTATTTTTTATACAAAAATGAAATCATCGACAATCAATCAATGATGCGGAGAACGCATAAGTGAATTCGAATTCTGGTTCGGATTGTTACAGAATCGCTCTGCTGTTATATATCGACATCGATGAAACAGCGATATAATACCAATATTCAAATCATTTGAAAAAGTAAAATAATTTCACTTCACTATGTGACTAGTGAAGTGAAATTTGTGAAGGGCAACTTATTTTTAGCTTGGAAAATTATTGTTTGTACTTAATTTTATAATAACTTGTCATTCCCAGTTCAATGCCGATCTATCTATAAACTGGCAATAAAACAGTTTCCCATTGAGGCCGCGAGTAGCATCTGCACACCTATTTTAAAGTACGATCCACCATTACACGAAGTAGAAACAGGCTATATATGCGGAAGTAGGCTGTCCAAGCTGTTCCTAAATTCAATAGTTGCTACAAATTATTAGCAGTTTCTATTAAAATTAATTTATTATAGATATTTTTTACAAGCTAGTTCTTTTGGATTTGCTAACCAGTATGAGGAAGTATTTAAAAATAAAAAGAAAGCTCCAAAACAACACTTCCACTAGATGGCGATTCTAGCAAAAGTTAATTTTTCAAGAAACGAATGGACCAATGATAGTCATTTCCGTTCCTTTTAACATATTAAAAAACTGAAATTTCCAAAGTTCGAAACTTAGATATCAATACAAATACGAAAAAGTATAAATAGAATTTAAGTTGTTTATTGAGTTTTGAAAACTAATTTACTTTTATACATGAAAGAAAACCGGAAGCGAAATCAAACTAGTGACGTCTAGTTTGATTTCACGAACTAATGTTTTTTTTTTATATTTCCTCATTGTGTGCGCTGTCAGTGTGTTTGCTATGATTTTTCCACAGGTTTTTACTTACAGGAAAGTTGCTATCTGCTGATACAATTCGGCAGGCGGTACAAATTTGACCGTGAGTATCTTCGATCAACAATACAACGTCTTCTTTCGCAATTAGAAATCTTTACTAAAGATAGCTATAAGATTATTTCTATTATACAGCGGCACTACTGTATTGCGGCCTGTTGGAGTTTGACTTGGTTCTTCTAAAAATTTAGAACGTAAGAATAATTAAACATTTTCTTCCGATTTCGAGCAAAATTCTATCAGTCCAGTCTATATACCACTTTTCCTATCCTTGATTATGGTATGTTTAACTGATGTATGTGAATCTTGGGAGATCCCAAGAACTTCTTAACAAATTGGATCGTTTACTTAATAGCTGAATACGTTTTATCTACGGTCTTCGAAAATATGATAACGTATCATCTCATCGCAATGAACGTATATGGCTGACAATTCGCTAACGTCGGAACTTGATAATTCTTTCTACTCTTTTCTCTATAATTATTCAGCCATGTACTCCTGGATATCTGAAACGTTAGTTTATTATTTGTATACCTTTCACAGTCGAAACCTTAACATCCTTAACCTTAACATAACAACCCTCATACATCTCTTTTACTCTTACCACCGAACTGGTTTTATCTCATACTTATTTACTCTTCAGGCAATACGACTTTGGACCGCGCTCCATATTTACAACAGAAAGCGCCATATAAAATCTCCTTCAAACTATTATTTCGTGAACATCTATTAAATTCTTCATCTATCTATATTTGTATAATATCATGTCAATACCTACGTATCGATACTTATTCACTATACCGTATCGGTCACGAGGTATCGATACTTACTTGTATCGGAAAATAGGGTATTTGACACTAGCGAAAATAAGTTGCATTTTGTGGTCATCCTGAATAATCTAATAAAACTTATTTCTTATCATCTGCAGATAAAACATGTTTAGATTTAGTAAAATAACGTAAAGAAAATGCAATATTTTTAGAAATTATTTCAACGACGAAAACGTCCTATAATTGGTGGTCTTCACAACCAATATCGATTCTGTTTCCTAGCCTGAGACGTCATCAGCTGTCATGTCAAAGTAGTGTTAGATACGTAAAATATCGATGTCTGTAGGTTTAAAGTACTTTATAGTAATTTACAGAATACTTTGCCGCTTCTGCTGATAAGAACTGCCAAAAAGGGGTGTATATTGGGTCGCCTAATTTTTTGTCCTCCTAATTGGCTTTGGCACGTAAACGGTTAGCCTAATTTTTTTTCGCACAATTTTAATGTTCCTAATGGTGTTTAATCTAATATCATATCGCGTAACTTTTTATCGCCGTATTGTAACTTACCAAATGTGACATTAGGCGGAACAATCTGTTATCCCTACTCATCGCAATTACTAAATAGTAATGCGCACAAAATTAAAACGCACGAAAGTATAAAACGCCTTAACGTTTTTATCAGGCAAAATTACTTAGGCAAGCATGCAGCACGCATGGCTTCTGTCACGGCTCCGGCGCTGCGGGGCTCCGGTGGTCCCACGCGAGCTTCTTCGCGGGCTTAAATTACAGTCGGGCAAACAAGACTACGTGATGTCGGTTTTACGGCGGTGTCGGTTTTGCTGCGATTCGTTTCTCAAGCCAATTGTTTTTTTTTGCACATTTAAGATTAGAAATGCTAAAATGAGAGCTTTTAATATTTAAGCGAAATGAAGATATGCCAATATATTTTAGTGGATTTCATATTAGGAATTCTAAAATTAGGGCTTTCAATTCTGAGACCAAACTATGATAGTGCCAAGACAACTGTTAGGCTAAACAATAATTGTACGTTATAAGTTTAGGCCAATACAGTTCGGCAATGTTAAATTAGGACTTATAATTTAAGGCGAAGCAAATGGCACCCGCAGTTCACTCACTCAATTAAATTTCCTTTAATGAAGGAAAAACAAAATGCTTAAAATTTGTACTACCTAATGTGTTAAAAAAGTAGATATAAATGTTAATGTAAAAGATAAGAACATGGGCCTTGTGGATACCACAGTATTTTAGGAATAACATTAGATTCTAAACTACAGTGGGGCCAACATATTGATAGATTGTCGAGTAGACTTAGCTCTGCAGCATATGCCGTAATGAAAATACGTAGGTTAACTGACATAGATACTGCCAGATTAGTATACTTCAGTTACTTTCATAGTGTAATGTCGTACGGAATCCTATTGTGGGGAAATGCTGCCGAGATACAAACAATTTCTGTGCTTCAGAAAAGAGCAATTCGATCAATTTATAATCTTAGGATTAGGGACTCTTTAAGGGAGAAATTTAAGGAAATAGACATTATGACTGTTGCTTCTCAATACATATATAAAAATATTAGTTTGTTTTCTATAAAAAGTGATGTACACAATTTTAATACAAGAAATAAAAATAAATTAACGGTGTCTGTCACTAGACTGCGAAAAGTTAATAACTCGTTTAAGAGTCTTTGTGTGCGCTTCTACAATAAGGTCCCAAGCAAAAAACAACAATTAGATATCATGCAGTTTAAATCTACAATAAAAAAAATACTTATTAAAAAAGCTTATTATAAGGTATCCGATTATATAACAAATAAGAACGCTTGGACTTGAGATGATCCAGCAACTGGATAGGTGATTACTTCTAAACTCATTATCTTGTTTCCATTATTATTAAATGATTATGTTATCATTATAAGACCATAGTTTTTTTTTATCTCTGTTTATAATGTATTGATCTGGTAATGACATGGTTTTTGTAAATGTCATTACTCTTATTAGAGCTGGTGAGTTTCTTGCTCGTTCTTCTTATCAGCCAAAAGACGTCCTGAACGAGTGGTAGGGAAAAAATGTTGGACGATTCAAAAGTACTTTTAAGAAGTCTATTTGAATAAAGATTATTTTGACTTTTGACAAAAACAAATACAGAAAGAAAGAACAATTTACTAAGCTTTTTAAAAAAATCCAAGAAATATGGAAAACGCCAGTAATTTAAAAATAGAGCAAGTTACATGTTTTTCTCAATTCTTGAACTTTAATATAATAATTCAAAATTACAAAGTCGATTTTGATAATATATGCAGTTCTCCAAGTTAAAACCAATTTGAAAAAATCATTGGGGTCTGATGTCTAATTATCGAGTGCCATGCATTTAGTGCATCGATATACTACATGCTTGAAAAAAAAATAGTACATTTTTCTTTGTATTGTCTCATCCATCTGTAGGTCTTCTTCTATCTTCATGTTGTGTTAAGGCTGTGAAGTGCGAGCCCTGACAACAAATATAAATGAGTCGTCAAATATTTATGATATAGAAAAAAAAAAAAACAAAAGAAAACCTTCAAATAAAAAAGTTTCAATACTTTAAGCGAATCCGTACCTAATTTTATCACCCATCTCTACTCTATATAGCTACTAATCTATTGTGATTGTGAATCTATTTTCTTCTAGACTCAAGGTTTTTTTGTTATTTATAGTAGTGTTAGTACATTGTGACACTACGCACCACTTGTAGCTCATTTTATTAAAAAAAAATCAGAGAACAGGAAAATAAAAAGCGTGAAAAATACGCACTACGACTTCAATTTCTCTTCTAGATTATTATTTCAATTTACGATAAAGACAGTTTTTACTTATCGATTTTCATATTTACTGACCTGTGACGTCACGATGAACACCATTACATAGAGCAGCGTTTTTCACGCAATTTAAGTTATTTAAATTTTAACAATTATTATACCAAAAATAGAAAAGATACCTATGAAATATAATGACAGTGTGTTTATAATGTAACAACGATTTAAAATAGTTTTCAGAAAAGTGTCAAATACCCTATTTTAAAATGCCTCATTTGTTGCAGACAAGATTTGACACTATTGATAGCCAATAGCAATACTTTGTATACGGTAGAAAGTGAAGTAGGTCCAGACATAAAAAGTGATGCATATAATTATTAAAAATGTTGTTGGCAGTGCAGTAGATAGATTTCTAACTACATAAAATTAGTAGGGGTTAGCAACACTACAGGAACGCCGCGCCTTTGGGACTTATTCATGAGACAGACTTTAGGCACCTTACCACAGAGTAAACAGTTTAATGCACGCAATTTTTTGATTTTCCTTATTGTTGATCGAAGCTCTCCTTACTAAAAGACCGATCAAGTACCGATACAAATACTTATTTCACGATACTACTCGTAACTCTAAAGTATTGATAACAAAACCCTTGGTAATGAAAAAATAAATATCATGTAAGTACTTCTATTTACTCGTATCATTCATCCCTTTTACCCATAGATAATACATAATACCATTTAAAAAAAAAGTATTTTGAGTTTTAAAAGAAAAATACTTTTTCAAGAATTAATGAAGAAGAAAAATAATGAAGATTTTTAACGAGGAAACCATCCCGCGCGACTTAAGAAAACTCTTATCAAACATTGACAGTTATATTCCTGTATACAGATTTGTCAAAACTACAGTCCAAAAAATTTAAAGATAAAGAATATCCTGACAGGGCTGTATGGACCTAACATCCTTTGCCTGTCTCAAATAAGAGGGAAAATAAACAAAAAAAAAAGTATTTTGATTTGACGCGCGACGCGCGAAAATTGGCGCTCTTTTAATTTCGATTCCATAATTACAGTAGATAACAATTTTATTGGTTTATGAATTTACGAGTGGATAATCATAATAATGTTTTATCCAGTTGACTCACTGAAGCGTGGTGGTAGATTTTACTTGTGTTGGGTAGCAGATTCGTGGCCTCTGCGATTTGCTACGATAACTCATAGGCAGCTGTGGTCTCAAGATATTCGTAAAATATGGTATAAGTTTTTCAATAATAAAAAATATCATAGTATGGTATCGAGTCATGACTGCCATGATTTTGTAAGACATATAAAAATAATAATATTTGTTTTTGTTTTAGTAATGATTTAATGGAGGTAATGAATAATGAATCTGGTCGACCAGTCTGCAGATTTTCACTTCGTCTTAGTTCACAACTTATGAGAGGTGTGGTGAGACTTTATCAACGAAAAGTCACTGTTTTTCTTGGTAAGTTATTAAGAATAATCATGTTCCAATCCTAGTACATCAATAAAAGTTTGTTTTTCAATGATGACTGGGGTTAAAAGATGTTTTTTTAAATAATTCTTAAAATTAAATATCACAATGTTTTTGATATTTTTTGTCTCCCAATGGTATTGGTAATATATAAAAGCAAGGGATCTTCTCTAATCATCTATAAACCAGGCAAATTATAAGTTAAATAACAAATTAAAACTCATAACTGGCACTAATACAAAATATGGAGACTAGATAGTTATAATTACAGCACCAAGGGTCATTTATACTACTAACAATTTATTAAGCAATTCTAATTTTTCCAGGGGATCTGTGCATGATCAACGCTAATGTTACCAAACATGTTAACAAAAAGTAAGTATAAATTATTTTTTGTATTTTTTTGTCTATGGTTTGTTAATTGATTTTTGAAAAATTCTCACAATATAGATGGAATATTTGTGAGGAGGTCACTGATGTTCCACAGCGTTCCTTGCCAAGACTACCAACTGTTCAATTAGTTGCCCAAGAAGAACCAGAAAATGGACAAAGAATTGAAGAGATTATTCAGGTAAATAAACCAGTATGTAATCTTACACTCTGAAATAATAATAAGGAATTCTATAATATTTTTTAATACCTAATGAATTTACAGAACAGTGGAAATGTTGTCGGCAATATAGAGGAAATAACTCTTAAAGAATCTGCCATCCCTCAAGTCACACTGCCACCTAATGTGAGTCTAAAATATAATATTTACAGGTATTATACAGCCTAAATTATACCTAATTTATTTTTTAAAATTATGGGCCCCTTTGTGCAACTGCAAGTCAGGCTATACAAAACTTAAATTTCCCCACTCTTTTTTAATCTTTATAATATTGAGTGTAGAGATAAATATCCATTGCAGAAATTTGACATATTGTGGATATCCGACTAGCAGCTGTAAGTACCTTTCAACCGAAGATAAATAAACAATATTAGAAAGGTTTGGTTTTTTTATCAATTAGGGTGCATGGCGTAAGTTGCTACAATTGGACATTTACATATTTCAAATTAAACCACCATCAAATTTCTTTTTCTTCAAAAAGAGTTATTAAATGAAGGAAAAACATATTTTTGTTCATATTGTTAATTTATATTGTTCTGCAAAACAATTCTTTAGCAGAGGCAGGGTTTGATCCTGTTTAGCAGAGGCAGACTTAGACTAATTGTCTAGCTACATTCAAAACCTTAAACTGCATCACGATTTTATACTACTGTTTCTACTGTACTGCTTATAAAAACTTGATATAGTATGTACTAAAATTTAATGCCTTATTTAAATTAAAGCTTTTGCATTAGAAATTAAGGAATTAGAAAAAAGTAAATAAATAAACTTCCAATATTAAAAGTAACCTTATATTCAGTGGCGGACTAACCTCATCGGAGGCCCGGGGCGGGAATAGGCCTTGATCAATAACTTTTTCTAACCGGGATTTTTAACTTTATTATATTATTATGATGCGGATGGCTGCAGCCATTACGAGGCCCCCAGGACCCGGGGCAGACCAAGACCTCCGCTCTCCCTTAGTTCGCCACTGCTCATAATCATATCAATATTACGCGGTAAACATCAAATTCGTGTGCTTTTCTGTCAGCCGAATGAATGCTGTAGAATTGTGACTTCTCCTTTGCTAAAAATAAAAGGATTTCTCATTTCTTTAGGACGGTTTCGGCGAAGAAAATCCGGAACAAGCGCTGCAGCTGCTTAAAGACCAGACTATAGAGATGATGCTTGTTCAAGACAAGTCGATACATTATAGCGGACTGGATCTAGCGTTAGATGTCACAGAGAAATCGCACGATAAGTCGCGTTTCGTCGCACACGATGTACAAATGGAACCTATAGCGGAACTTGATGCCACAATGTTCAGAAAATGTACATATTCAAGTTTAATTATCTATTTGAGAAATTCTCGAGATTATTGTCTCGCACAGTGGTTCTCGAACTTTTATTTAATAAAAAAACGAATAGGAGTTTTGTGTGTACTATTTATTCCTTAATAATGAATTTCATACGTGTTTTCAAATATTAATAATGAGATTTCACTTTAAATCTCATTATTAATATTTTCGTGGAACCCTCACGTATGCTTTGCGAAGCCCTGAGTTCCGCAGAGACAGTTTTTAGAAAAACAACAAAACCGGCTTGTCTAGCATTTCGTATACAGTTTCTCATGCCGAGTCCGAGTCTAACTACAACAGAAGGACTAACAATTTACGCAGATGATGAATGAATGAATGAATGAAATACTCTTTATTGTACACACCATAAGTGAATGAACAAGTATATAGTTCATTCACTTATGGTGTGACAAAATAGTACAATTGGCGGCCTTATTGCTAAAAAGCAATTTCTTCCAGGCTTTTTGTTGTCGTTATAACAATCAATACTAAAAAATATAATAAATTAAATATTTAAGCGGGCTCCTATAGAACAAACGTGATATTTTTTGCTATCATCTATCTCTAATTGACTCATTGATCGTGTCTCATAAATTGTGAGAGTTAGACAGTTGAAATCTTCACAGATAATGTATTTCTGTTCCCGCTGTAACGACAAATACTAAATTAATATTTTTCTTTTTTTATTTAATTATTACTCTTCGTGCGCGAGTCCGACTAGCACTTGGTCGTTTTTTTTTCTCTTAGGTACTCAGCTCAAAGTGGATAAAAATTGAAAACAAAGCTAAATCGCAGACATTAAACTCGTATTTAAAGATTTTTTTACGCAATAAATTTATATTTTAATTGCAAGAGTGAAGTATTTTCTTCTGGTTTTCAGCTGTTGGTGACGAACGCTTAACAATGGCAGGTTTGGAAAAAGGTTTGTGTACAATAAAAAAATTTAAAAACTTATTTGTAGTTAATTTCTTGATTGTTCGTTAAACTGTCCTTCAATATCATACGCCATATCCTACAGATGTCCCAGAAATCCCTGAAGTCCTGCTTCCCGTTCCCGACATGCCTGTTCCCCCGCCTGAGCAGTTAGTACTTAAACTAAGTAGTTTTTTTTTATTAGATATCTTTCATCATTATTCTTGAGTAACTTATAGTAAGTGTTTATGTCTCTGGTAAAAGTTTTAGTACCGCCTGATATACCACAAACAGATGATTTTTAAGTATTTTTTAATTAAATAGATCCGATATTTAATTAATTTCGATTCACAATGGTATAAAAATATGTTTTTTTACCATTTTGATGCTGTATAGCTTAGCTTGTCACTGTAAATCGATCATTATTTCTGTAGCATATTTACAAAATAGGATACATTCATATGTAAATATTGGTAAATTCTACTCGTCCAAATTCTATAAATTTGACTATAAACAACGGATCCATTTGAATGTTATGATGTTACAAATTATAATACTTATCAACTTTTACCATTAAATATATTTACAAAATAGTCATAAAATATACGGTTCAAAAAAATTACAAGTGTAGTATACATCATACATACATCATCAGCCCTTTTACGTCCCCACTGCAGGGGCTCAGGCCTTCCTTATGGATAGTTAAGGAGGATGGGCCATGACCCTCCACGGTAGCCTAATTCGGATTGGAGGGTATTAACGATTGCAAATGTGACACCGAGACCAACGGCTTAACGTGCCTTCCGAAACACGGAGTAGCTCGAGATGATAATTTTTGGTCACCCATCCCGTGACCGACCCTTGCGAAAGTTGCTTAACGACAACGATTGCGGGCCGCGGCGTTATCCACTACGCCACCGAGTTACCCTAGGTCTAGTATCATTACATACATATATATTTTTGTTCAAGACAAGTGATAGAAGAACCACGAGTCGAAATAATTCCGCCCCAAGAAGTTCAAGAACTAACGAGACCGACTGAAGAAACGACAGCTAAAGAACAAACAGTAGAAATACAGTTGGAGGTATATTATTTTGAAATAGTATACCTATAATTTTTTAGAAAATTTAAACCATTTTTACGTAAAATGTTATTTCAACAGGAACTCGAAGAGGAGCCGCAAACGAAGCGACGTCGCTTGAAGGATAAGTTGATTATCGATAAAAAGATAAAACTCAGCTCAGACTATCTCGTCACTCGTATTGAGAACCCGCGAATCGAATTACGTTGCGAGGTAAGTTGTTGCTGCAATTACGGAAAATTTAATCTTACTCCAATACCTTTAACAATTTCACTCAAAATGTATCTCTCACCCTGATTTAATCACGAAAACTTCAAAATAAAGAATGAAGTGTTTTTTATTTTCTTCCCTTTAAAAAGTAGAACAATAACAATAATACTAATCCATTCGTGCCCTCATATTGAGAGTGGGTAGTTGAAAAATTCTTGAGGAAAGTCTCTGTCATAATACAAACGCCTAAGTACCCTCAATTTCGCAAAGATGAGGTCTAAAATTAGAATCGATAAAATGCAGTCTGTGATTGTCTCTTATGATTTTTACAATTGAGTTCGCCTTTCTTCCTTATGTAAGGAAACCAATACTAATTCACTTAGAAAGACACAGGTTACAAATATGATATATAATATTATCGCATTTTATACAGTTTAAAAAAACATAACCCATTTTAAGATAACAACAGTTTTATTGAGTTGGAATGTCATGGTTTCAACTCTTTTGACTGAAAGTTTAGAAGAATAATTAAATGGCGTTACTGCTTTAATTTGATTATTTTATTTTTTGAAACGAAATATCGTCATAACATCGCTTAAATGTCGTAAACTATAGATAGAATCAACGCTAGAGAGTTACGCGGTCGCACCCCAGAAAACTATTGATAAATTCTCAATTAGTAAACCAAAATGCTCTAAGGGCGATTACTCTTAGGTAATAACTATGGATTTAAAAACCTTGATTATTTATTATTTCGTTTCCAACAGGAAAGTTCAGATGATATAGTAGACCTAAGTGTACCAGTTGATATATTATTTCGTCGTCCGTGTCACGCAGGCTTTCGCCTGCATTCTAACATTAGCATGCCGTTGACGAGAATGTATCAAAGAAGACTCGAAATTGTCCCAAAACATCCAAGAGCTGATAGGGAAATGGAGGTAAGTTATTATTGTTCACATTCTCAGAAGTCTGTAAAACTAAACTTCAATAGTTAATAAGTTCTTCAGCCGGTTAATACCTGTAATATGTTAGCACTACCCGCGAACAAATCTACGCTCACAAATAATAATTAATTTCGCAGCTACCGCCGATCATTACTTTATCGTGTTTCGTCCTTCCACGGAGCATTCTTAGGAGTTCTTAAGATTATATAACCATAGTATTTATGGTGTAAGTCTGCAGACATACGATGTGTTTATGTTGCGGTACGTTGTGTAGTCGTGGCAATACGTCTGATGCCTGGGTAAAAAAAAAGAAATTCTTTTTTATTTTGTCCCTCCGTCAGATCATAGAGAAATATCAGATACGCATTTTTTACTTCAATTTAAGAAGAAATAGCTTAGACAACACGCATTATAGGGGTCTCGCTACGTCATAGTTTTGTAACAAAAACGTGACGTCATGTGAGATTTTAACTATTTTATCTACCTGATGGGCAAACAAGCAAAATGTAGTCATCATCCCTATTGGTTACTTGACAGATATCATAAAGTAAAATTAAGTATTAGCTTTTTGTCCTTATACATATAAACTTTCCTCTATAGGTGCCGATTTTGACAAATCCTTTAATAAATCCGATAAAATAGTACTAATGTCTGAACGCAATGGTTTATCTTAAGCCATATTTAGTCCAATTAATGAATATACTTCCATATATTGTACATTTTTAATGGTGTTTGAGAAAAAGCGAGGTTTTCATGCTACGTCGGCACGGCACAACCAACCCCCGTTTGGGGCAAGTTGTGCCGTAGCTGAGGTTGGTTGTGCCGTTGATAACGTTAGATGTTTTACGAGAATAAAATTTTATTTAGAATTTAAAATGCATCAATTTTACAATCAAATATTTATTCGTCATACTTGTTAAGATTTAGTTGATAATAATACTAAGGTATTATAATAATAATTAAATAGATATCTTGACTTACGTAATTATTTCAAACACAAAGCATATTTCTATCAATAGTTTGTACTTATTTGTAATGCGAATGAGATCAACTAGTAAAAATATCAGCCTTTTAAGACTATTTTACGAAAAATAATAAAGTTTTCTCTAAAATTAAGTAACACAGATCTTTCCTTATAATAATCATTTTAAATATTAATCAGTCTCTTGAAAGTCTTTTTAAGAAATCACAAAATATAGGTATCAAAACTAGTTATTTTTCAGATGACTGATCAAAAAACCAATAAGGACATATAAAGGCTACGCTTTCTTCAACTTCAATACATTGCAAATGGGCCCAATTCTTACATTCTCCACATTCTATCCATTTTTCTCCAGGGGTGGAGTTAGAGTAGGCATCACAACATATTATACAATAATATTCTTCTTCGTCATCTTCATCATCGGAACTGTCATCTTGCAAAAACTCTTCTCTTAGCAGGGTTTTTCGTCTGGTTTTTCAATTGTTTAGCTTTTGCCTTGCCCTTTCCCTTGCCCTTTCCCTTTCCCTTATTTTTTTCTTTAATTTACTTTGTACATTCGCTTTCTTTCTTCTTTTTTTTGGCCCGATTTTCGGCCAAAGCATTTTTTTCTGGAGTATCCGTGAGAACAGTTGTCTTTCTTTTACGTCTTTTATTGTGTCCAATCAACCGGGGAGGTGCTTTAGGCAGTGGTCTTATTAGTTCGGGTGAGAAAATTGCTGTACTTTTATCCTCTCTGTTATTATCAGCTAATTGAAGATCCGAAGGACCTGGTTCACTTATTTAGTCAACGTTGCAGTCGCTTTGCCGAGGAAGAGGCTGTAGTATCGATGGACTAGTCTCAATCTCAACGTTGCTGGCCACATAACTGGACTCATCCAGATATTGAGGATTATTTGCAGGGACAGGCAAGTTGTCTGCTACAGGTTCTGGCATCGAACGATCAGTACCAAAAGAAGGTGCATAATCTTCGTCTGGAAAGATGTTCGAATCATACGGCCAAATGCCAGCCTTTTTAAATGCGTTGCATATATTGGAGGAGTGGTTTCTCTTTAAAAAGTTTGTCAACCAGTCTTTGCCAGCCTCACCATTTCTATGCCATGATTGTGGTATGTTTTACACTTCAAATTTCACGGCACATTGGTACACAAGTTGTCGTACCCCTTGCGGTAAAAGACCGAAGTAAATAGATGCGCTTTTTAATATGTTAATCGTCAGCTGTGCCTCCTGTCCTTGATTAAATACTAGTCTTGGTTTATATCCAACCGCAGGAGTATGTTTTTGACGTAGCGTTGTAGTGTTGTATGACAAATATCCATTCTGTGAAAAACAATAAATGCAAAATAAAGTATCACGTCAACAAGGAGTTTCTCTTCTTCATAAGTGCTCGCGTAAAAGCAAACAATACTGGAACCATCAACGTTACTGAGGGGTTGGTTGTGCCGCGGCACAACCCGCCCCACACGAACGGCACTTTTTGCCCCGTTTATGAAAGTGTGGTATTTTGTCTCACATATAAAAATCTGTCAACTTCAACCAATAAAATTACACTGTAAGGCTAACTAGGATAAATAACGAGCATTTTAGTAAAACTCCCATATTAAAATCACAAAAGATTCTAGCTTGCGACCAAAAAGCATCGACACGAAAATATTTACTTACATGATGCTGGTAACCTCTCACATGCACAGGCACTCGGTCCATTTCGTTGACGCAACTAAAATGGCACACGCGTGTGCCGAACTGTCGGGCATTAGGCGACGCAATACGATCGTATATCTAACTCTTTCCATTTTCGAGATATTGGCATCGGCACAATTTACCCCCGGCTACATTGATGAAAACCGCACTTAAATCCGTTGTGTAGTTTAAAAGATATCATGGTACAGACAACAGGAAAAGACTGTTATAAAGTATCCTTTTTGGAAATGGTAACTGTATGTAAACAATAACTATGAAGAAAATAATTTTGTTTTATAATAAATTGCAAGTATATATCATAGCATCGTTAATAAACTAAACGTCAACTTCTTTAATATGAGTGCAACTAGTACTCATGTTTATTGAAATGTGACATCATGTCTCGAAATCACTGATAGTTTTCGGGGGACAATTTAAACTAATGAATAAAGTATGTCCTTTATTAACACTTTATGGAGAAAAAATAATCTGATATTAGTTTAATATGACCACATGAAAGTTTTAAAAGACTTTCCAAAACAGATAAATAGCAGATTGCGGTGCAAAAATTATTAACCAAGGTTTTGCTGGCTCTGAACGGAATCGTTTAAGCATTATAAGTTCCTCTGGGGTTAACTTGGTTTGATCCAACCAAAAAACGGCGACGAAGTTCCGTACGCTGTTTCTCTTTCAGATTTTTTCAATGACGAGTGATTCACAAAAAGTAGCGCGATAGTGCGATGACAAATAACAGAAATCAACAGATAGACGCAGTAATAGAAATCTGTGAGCAAAATTAACCGGTATTTTGAGCAGTAATCGTTTTGTTTTGATTTTAAATTAAAATCGAAATTATTTCAGTTCTGAATAACCGAAATTGAGATAGAAACTCTCCAAAAATTGTAATTAATCTTTTACGAGCTGGTTAATGATATGGTTTTTAATATCGTTTTTAGAGTCAGTTTGTAACTCTGCGATATGAGATTTGTTGGCAGGCTTATTTGTTTGTTGGCGATACAAAAGTATCATGCAGGTCTTCACTTAGTTACAGTTAGATCAATGAAACTTATTATGTGTAACTCACTCAGCTCTATATTTACGAAATATTGAGTCTAAACCACTGAGGGTTTATAAGAAACCAACTAATAATCTACTAAATTATGTAAACATAGTTTTTGTATTATCAAAGGACAATGTCCAGCCCCCATACATTTTTCGCCTAAGAACCTCTAAGCATGTACTATCACTTTTCGTGTTCTAAAGTATCTATATTTACGTCTAAATACATGTTTAAGTAACGGACACTTCTAAGAAATGTATAAATCAAAAAATATATTTTGGAATTGAGGTTATAATTTTAACAATTGTAGCGTGCGATTAGATTCTTTTTAATGTTTGTTTTACTTGTTTTTGTAGGGAAATGTATGTCTACTTTGCTTTAAATGTTGATTGTTGTTGTTTGCTTTAAAAGGTTCTGTAGGTTCTGTATCGGGAGCATGTACTTACCAATCTTGGAGCAACCCAGTGTTGTATACACTGAAGGATCTGCTCATCTTCTAATACCATGCAACCAGAAGCTGAACCGCAATTAACACAAAATACTTCAACACACCCAGATTCCATGTTAATTTCCGTTAAATAAATGCCAAGTCGTCGTCTATAGTAGGTCGGTATGCCGTAAATCACTGCCGGAGGTCGATATTATAAGACGAAATCAGTCCTTAGTTCAAGCCAAGTCGTTATTTTATAACTAATATTCACAAGACACAAGAAATCGTACAAACAAACTCAAGCGACGTAAACACAACGCGAGTATGAAAGCGATTGTCAAACAAAACTTCAAAAGTTCAAAATTGTCAAACGTATGTAAAAGAGCGCTTCCAGCCGCTTAAAAATCTACGAACGTTTTGAGTCTCGTTTTAATGTCAAGCGCTTTAAGTGTTCATTGGTTGATTATACATCAAATTGTGCATAGATCCTGATTTGTCAACTTATTAAAATATGGTGACAGCGTTTATTGAAGTTTATCAAATCCTATCCTATTAATTATAAAGGCGAAAGTTTGTAAGTATGGATGTATGGATGTTTGTTACTCTTTCACGAAAAAACTACTGGACGGATTTGGATAAAACTTTACAGCAATATAGGTTATACATCAGAATAACACATAGGGTACTTTTTACTGGGAAAACTTCTCACTCCCACGGGATACCGACTTCCACGCGGACGAAGTCGCGGGCGTCCACTAGTGTATTGATATTACTTTTTAAAGTAATTACAAAAATGGGCAGTGTCCGTTTGATTTTAAAAGCTGATATATTAATCATAAAATATG